TTGAAGGTACATCACTCTAATACTATGAGCGGATGTTACTCACCAGATGTACCAAAAATCAAAAGGTCTTGAAGAGAGGCCGTCTTACCCAGTTCGTACGTTTCAGCATACTATAATCCCAGCAAGAAAAAGTAGCGAAACTTAAACACCAGAATGAGTTCACAAGAAAGTCGGTCGTGTTTCACTTGTAATTTACATATATTCACCCATATATACTATATAGGAACTGACTCGTGACTCTGAGCTGTGGTCATTTCTACCTCCAGATTTAGTAAAGCTCCCTTCGACTTCAAAGCTCCTAAAGCATGGTAGGATAGCCGGTTCCGTCAAATCACAGAACCACGCGGTGTCCAGTTGGTTACCAGCTCAATACACGGGTTACTGTCAAGCGGTGGCCGAGTACATCAGGTATTTACTTGGAGTCACAGACGTTCAGCCAACCTGGCCACCATCACCAACAACAGCCGAGATATCCCATCTTCCAGAACATCCAGATGATGCAATCACAAATGACAAGACGGTATTCAATTCCAATATCTTCAGCCCTGCTACCCGTCACGACGATCCTTCACGACGAGGTCGACAAAAACCTTGCTGGGGGACTTATAAGCATCTATTCCTCGCTGATTTGGCCCAATCAGGTATCCGACGAGTTACGTTCCAGTGGATCATCGCCGGAGACTCTCGATGGAACGACATCATGATACGGTTTGTTGTGAAACACTGGAACTGGGCCAAGGATCATGCTGCGTTTTCCCGCTATTCAATCGACCCAGAGCACAACGGTGATATGTTATTGGTTGGTGTGATAGAGAGATGGGTGAGGGGACGCGCACAAGATATAGCAAAGATGGCACGTAATCCAAACATGCGACAAACACGACGGAAGAGTGATCGAAAAAGAACCGTAAGTTGTTTTTGGTAGTTGATACATAATGTGTATCACTGGAATATTCTCTGATCTTTTACTTGTAAAACTTGTTAGCTCTTTGAGTACCGCAAATCTACAATCAAGCAGCATCTGGGCGAACATGCTCTGCTCTATCTTCCCAACGTGGACTGTTGCTCGGACACGGAGGACGACGAAGATGGCAATGTTATTGTGGTCGATTCGCTGTGGCGCGAAGAGAGGTACCGCGAGTTTCTCCATACGGTCGACAAGCTATCAATACATTATGCAAAAGAAACACAAGGCGCACGATCAGCCGCTCAACGTCTGGATTCGCGAAGACAGCCTTCAACTAGAGTTGATGAGAGGGCTGCTGTGGCTCCAAACCTCCCGAAGCAATGTTATCGCGAGGAATTTTACTCTAACCTTCGCCAGACTGAGAGGTATCTGATAACTGTAGAAGGTGGTTCCGAAAGCCTCGAATCTTTGTTAGCAAAAGCACGCGCGTTGTCAAAATAGCACACTTTCTGAATTTGGCTCCCTCATTTACATACCTACTTTTCCACTTCATTTCTTTTGGAAATCCTAAATCTGTCCTTCAAAGCTGTTGTCAAATATTCACTTTGCGCGCCCGTAGGAAATATATCATAAGTCTTGTGTCATGAACTTCTAGGAAGTTGAACTAGTAATCCGAGACAATATAGCTACAGAAGAGTAAAGAGAAAACTTTATAATCAAGGAACAGTTTTGAATAATTATTATCCTTCACCTCTTCTTCGTTTTACATCTCCGATCCCGAGATAAGACCGTTTTCCTAAAGGACTTACCGAAGACCCGCGCTGTAAGCATTCTCTGATTGAGATTGCTTACCAACATCCCAAGTCATCACATTTTTATTCTGATCTTAAAACAATTTGGACCAGAAGATCGTTTTTTATTCACTTTATGTTTCCTTTTCGATCATTTAGATATCGTTTTTATTTACTTTATCTTGCCTTTTCCTCATTTCGATCTTGACCTTCGTTTTTTGGCCTTATTCTCGTTTTATTTAAATTTCTTCAATCAATTAAATCATCTTTCAAGGAATTCATTTAGAATTTTTTACAACTATTTCATTGAGGATCTGTTATGGGGGATGACTTCGAAATCGTGAGAGAAGTTGGACATTGGATTTTATTAGATTGACATATCTAAGAGCGGGCGTTGCTAGGAGCGGGCAATGATGAAATATGTTATACCAAAATCCTATCGGGAGGTGGGTAGTCTAATGACTATCTACTTTTGTTGTGTTAATCTTCAAGCCTCGTAGTTTCCTCTCGAAACTTTAAGAGACTGTTTCTCAATTTTATCATTTGCGTGTTTTGTTCCTTCGGTATTGAAACTTCTTCGTGAATACATATGTACAGTAAAAAATTGATTGAGAGAATGGAAGCAATATATACAGTGAAGATCTCAACAGTTTGAAGAGTATATAAACTATATGTCAATAACCCAACAGTTTGAAAAGAGTGGAAAAAATATATACAGTCAAGAGGTAATGAAGATCATAAAAAATAGCATTGGAATCGCACACAAAAAATATATACAAGCAAAGCAATGGTTCAGCAGTTTGAGGCACACAGAGAAGATATATACAGTCAAAGATCTTGGAGAAAGGAAGAGGGGATGGAAATTAAACCACCGAATTAGAACAATTGTGAACGTGTTCACCACATCCTTGTACCAATTTCACTTCATCAAACATTCTTAAAAATATTAGCGCAGTTTCCTTGTATCTTTGTTCATTACACATGTTTTGTTTAAGCAAGTGTTCGAGAGGGTCAAGGCCACTTGCCAAGATAGACCGTGTGGCAGAGAGTCTGCACTGGCAATTTGAGATGGATGGTGTGGCTTGAAAAAGTAAAAGAAGAAGTGTTATCAGTTTGGGAGTTATGTAATTCATCCATTCTCAGTCACTAAATCAAAAATAACTCACCTTTTTTTTCATCACTGTCGAATTTATCAACATTACCTACGGGTGAAGAATCCTTTGGAGGAGGCGACTTATTTTGAGTGGCGCTGCGAAGAGATGCTGGTTCCACAGAAGCGTGGTTTGTCATACCGTGCGTTGGTAATAGAGATTTTGATAGCTGCATTTGTTGATCAGTCACGGTTTCCAGGCTCTCACTAGGTGGTGGTGATTGAGGTCGAGGTATTTTTGAGTCAGACGAATTTGGGTGCTCTGGACAAGGTGGTGAAAGAGGGAATGCTCCAGAAATTTGATATCGTGGTGATGACTCGTACAGTTGTGATCTTTTCTCTGCGGACACGCAAGTGGAGTTTTCTACATCGACAATAGGTAACCGCGCTTCAGATTCCTTCCGTTCAGGTTTCGGATCCAAAGATGAGCTCTCTAATATGTGTGATGGAAGTTGATTTACAACTCGAGATGGACGAATTCGGGGTTCTTGCATACCAGCTCCGAAAGAAGAGTAGTCTGAGCTTTTTATTTGTGGTAAAGGTTGAAGGCGATTTCGATCATGAGAAGCAGAGTTTTGGAAGGTACGTGTTGGTGATGGAGCATCTGAGGATGAGTCAGACGAATTTGGGTGCTCTGGAAAAGGTGGTGAAAGAGGGAATGCTCCAGAAATTTGATATCGTGGTGATGACTCGTACAGTTGTGATCTTTTCTCTGCAGACACGCAAGTGGAGCTTTCTACATCGACAATAGGTAACCGCGCTTCGGATTCCTTCCGTTCAGGTTTCGGATCCAAAGATGAGCTCTCTGATATGTGTGATGGAAGTTGATTTACAGCTCGAGATGGACGAATTCGGGGTTGTTGCATACCAGCTCCGAAAGAAGAGTAGTCTGAGCCTTGTATTTGTGGTAAAGATTGAAGGTGATTTCGATCATGAGAAGCAGAGTTTTGTAAGGTACGAGTTGGCGATGGAGATCTAGATATATGTCTTTGCTTGCCAGCTGAAACAACAGATCTCTCTAGACCATGTGATTGAAGGCGACTGAAAACTCCAGAAGCAGGATTTTTAAGGCTTTGAGAAAGTGATAGTGATTGAGTTCTGTTTTGATTCTTGCTAGATCCAAAATTAGAGTACTCCGATCCACGCCTTGGCGGCATTGATCGAAGGGAATTGACATCTCTAGAAGAAATATCTAGGCTGCGACTCGGTGACGGAGATCTGAATTGTCGGATTTTGTTACTAGCTCCAACAGCAGAGTTCTGTGGGTCGCGGGATCGATATCGATGAGCGACTTGAGAACGATTCCTGTCCAAGCGGCGAGTTGATGGTGAAGACATTCGAGCCTGTTCCTTCTCAGGTCCAAAAGCAGAGTTATCTAAGTGTTTCTTTGGCGGTGGCAATTGATCAATCACAGCTATAGGCGAGGGAATTTGATTAGTCTTTGCAGCTTTGTGTTGGTCTCTGATGTAGAACAAAGACATACGGGTTTCCTTTCTAGTGGAGGGTAAGTGAGCTGGTGGTGAATGAAGTCGACGCTTTCTCTTCTCAGGTGCAAAAGCAGAGTTCTCTAAGTGGCTTTTTGCCGGTGGCGATTGAGATCGTTTTCTTCGTCTAACATTATCGATCACATCTATAGGCGAGGAAATTGAGATTAGTTGTGGTCAGTCAAGAGCAACCTCCATGATAGGAAGGTTGTAGCTGCATCTGCGGCAAAAGACTCAACTTGATGCAAAGCGTCCATCTTCCATCTTGATGGAATGATTGGCGATGGAATGATTGGCGAACGCCTCATCATCAAACTCAGCAAAATTCTCGGGAATCTCAACTGGAGTTGGCCGGTGGAGATGGCCCAACCCGCAACGGCCCCTTCTTTCACAGTTGATCACTTCGGCGAGTTCTATGAAAAGAAGAATTAGTGAAAAGATCAGCAAACTGGCTGTCAACCTTCATATAGAAATCAGCTAACCCTCATATGTGTTTGATTGTCGACCTCGATCATCTGCTGGTGCTTCAGCAAGCCCCTCGCATATCCTGGCAACTGGCCGAGCGGCTAGGGTAGGAGATAAGTGGCCAGATTGCTGTCAATACTTACGGAATATAGAAGATTGTATTCATCGGAAGCTATCTTTACTTTTGGGTCTACACTCTGTAGTTGGTCGATCAATCTTTCGATGGAAGTGCTCTCCTCGGACAAGGCCGCGCTTACCCATGGTCCACGTGTTTTCTAAGGAGACAAAATCTCAATACACATTCAAAGGGGGAAGAGATAGAAGAGAAGTAATTGCATCACTAACCACGTCCAAGGCGAGATCTCTCTTCCATACTTTCAAGATGAGTAGGTGCTTGCTTTATCATATCTTCAACGTAGGGTCCAGCGCAACGGCTCCTTCTTTCACAGTTGATCACTTCGGCGAGTTCTATGAAAAGAAGAATTAGTGAAAAGGTTGATCAGCAAACTGGCTGTCAGCCTTCATATAGAAATCAGCCAACCCTCATATGTGTTTAATTGTCGACCTCGATCATCTGCTGGTGCTTCAGCAAGACCCTCACATATCCTGGCAACTGGTCGAGCGGCTAGGGTAGGAGATAAGTGGCCAGATTGCTGTCAATACTTAAGGAATATAGAAGATTGTATCATCGGAAACTATCTTTACTTTTGGGTCTACACTCTGTAGTTGGTCGATCAATCTTTCGATGGAAATGCTCTCCTCGGACAAGGCCGCGCTTACCCATGGTCCACGTGTTTTCTAAGGAGACAAAATCTCAATAAACATTCAAATGGGGAAGAGATAGAAGAGAAGTATTTGGATCACTAACCACGTCCAAGGCGAGATCTCTCTTCCATACTTTCAAGACGAGTAGGTGCTTGCTTTATCATGTTTTCAAGGTTAGGTCCACTTGAAATGGGATCACTAAAGATGTTATCATCGGAGATATGGCCTGTAAATGAACAGTGAACTACTTAGAAAAGGCATCACTGTTAGACATATCGCAGTGCAAAGTTTTTACCTGTCGCGTCCTGGTAGTCGGAGCTGGATCCGTTGGATTTCGACATGAATCAGGATACTTAGTTTAACGTAACTACTGAATTGTTTGATGTTGAAGAATGCTAGCGAGAAGACAATGATTCACAAATTCTGCTGAAGCGAGAGTTGAAATTGATTTTTGGAGGAAGGAAACAAGTGTTGATTTTTGGAGGAAGGAAACAATTGTTGATTTTGGGAGGAAGGAAAGAATTTTTACTCGTCCTCTTGTCTTGAACACGAAAAGCACAACCCTGTCACTTGATCGGTGAACAGCGGCCGGCCAAAACCAAAACTGAAGATCAAAGGCAAACGATTGAAAGGGCATTTGATTTTTTTACTAAACGCGTCTTCTATGACACCACCCAAATGATTGGTTTCAACAACCTCTCTACAGCCGTACATCAATCCCATTCACCTGTATGCCGCAGTGGGTACTAACTTGGGATCGGCTTAAGACACCTTTCAAGAACCACGGACCCCACAACACAGATTTTGCTCATGACAACCCTATGCCGTGACTTGTAACCTTTATCCTTTCACTCCAGTGGTCTTCCACCTGAGCACATCACACTTACCGGATAATGGAAATTCATGGAATAAATGGAATGAATGGACTGTAATGCCTTTGACTTACTCGTGAACATCCGTTTTGGTCTCTCTTCAATGTTTCTGATGTTTGAGAAGGCCTGTCAAGCTCGACAAAAGATAGCCTTGAAATTCCATTCAAATGATCTTCATAAGTTTGAATGTTCGGTTGAATCCCATAACTTTCAATCCTAAAATTGAAATGTTCTTGTTCCAGAAGTTTCGAAAAGCCTTTCAAGAACCACAAACACCATCCCTTTCACCCCTATGCCGCAGTGAGTAAGATTTTGCACATGTCAACCTTATGCCGCGGCTTGTAACCTTTGATCAATTATACTCAGAGAGATCGTCATAGAAGGAGATAAAGAATGAAAACTCCTCATTAGAGCCAGATTTGTTTGTCAAGCTCCATATGAGGTACAGCTGAAACCAAACAACCAAATACCACCCGTGACGCACACATGAAGTAGAAATTCTTGAGCTGACACCCAGAGACAAAAATAGCAACACAGAAAATACAACTAGCTGTAAATTCTGGGTGTTGTAGGGACATACTGGTTTCTTGAGGACAGTAATGTTGTGATATATCTTGATATTATGACACACGGCTTCGCCGATTCAACGATCTACGCACTGGAACTGGCAAGTTGAGAGAACAAGTGAATCAGGAGATGAAATCCTTTACAGCTGAGCTTTGTTTTTTATTGATAGATGTAATAACTTTCAAACACCAAGTAACCCAGATTTTGAACAAGATAGCAGAAAGAAAACGATATCTACACTAGAACTTCGGAAAAGAAAAGAATTTGGTCTTAGTCAATATATGATGAGGAATTTTGGAATAAGAAAAATGCAAGAACACAAATATCATCCTTACACTCATCCTTCAAAATGGTCGTATTTTGAAGGCAAATTATAATGAAGAGTAAAGAGTAAAGCGAGGCGAGGTGAGGAACTGGCGACGTCAGAAAGAATAGAAACGATTTTGGAAACCTCAAAACCAAAGAGAGCTAGGTATGTAAAACCCTCTCCTTTAAACGTACAGCGGGCGCGTGTAACATCCGATCGTTACGACATCGAACATGAGTCTCGCTTGTTGACCATCGGGATCACGTGATCCTGAAATTGATGAAGAGCCGTTTTATGCGTTCTTGACGTCGTTCCATCACTGCAAAGTCTTCTTTTCAAGCTACAAGAAAATATCAATCATTCTCAAATAAGCTTAATTGATTATCTTACAAAATGGCTTTTTTTGATTTTACAGTCGCATGAAATCGTTTCCACAAGATGTATTGAGACAATTAGTGAATAAAATAAACACAATACTTACACAGGTTGTTCATTCTTCTGTAAGATTTATTTCAATCTAGTAAAAGATGATACTTTTTTTCAACACAAAAAACAACAAATAAAGAACAACAAGACAAAGAACAAAACAAAGAGTAACCATGTGGTTTTTCGAGGATGATTTGAAATTTAGAATGCACAAAATCAAATGACTTACCTTGAAGAGCTGGTACAAGGTGCTAAAAGATATTGCAAGACTGGTTTTCCTTTTGATTGGCAATACTCATAAGAATTATGGTTAGCTAGAAAAAGATGAAATCAAACAAAAAAACCCAAAACCATAAGTTTTTCATCCCCCTTCAAATCCAAAAGAGGAGAAGATAACTTAATGATAAGATGGAATTTCTGAAAAACTGTTTTGAGTAAATTGGGTCCTTTGAAATTCTTGGTTGATGAAGTTTCTTTCGATTTACATGGGGTTGGGCTTGAAGTACCACATTGATTAGTTCAAAAAGATATCATGATCCTCATGGGAGTGCCGATCAAAATGTAATGGGTGGTTTAATGGAATTACTATTCAGTGTGTCAGCCTGAGGATAAGAAGGTGAAGTGAAGCCTGAGGAGCAACACACAAGAAAACCCAGCAGCAAACAGACCTGCACCCCGCCCGCAATTTAACGGGCGGCCCGCCGGGCATGCCGGGCTGGGCCAAGCCCAAATTGCTCAAAAAGGGGTGAGGCCCATGAGCGCTTTGCCGTCTAGCCTGCCGGGCTGGCCTGGCTCACAAATGTGGCCTAATTCTTTTTTTCCCAGCACAATTCATGTATTTTTCAGGCTGAGAGAGAAGAAAACGAAAGAAAACAAATGTAATAGAATTTTCAAGGTGGTTTTGAGGATGTTTTGATCGAGTTAAAAAATGTAACAAAATTTCTCAATTGTTTTTTAGAGTTAAGTAAGAAAATCTTGTCCCAGCTTTTGAGGCAAATTGATGCCTCAAATACAGGAATTGGAGGCATCAGATTCTTCTTTGGATAGAACAATTGTTGTTTGTGAGGTTGACAGACGTTCTTTTGGAATAGGAAGACAAGGTTGCTGGTTTTTTGAGGAGGGAGGGCTGGTGTTGGAGCCCCTCTTCCTGGTTGAGCCCATCATAACAGTGCACTTTATGATATCAAAGATATTGTATTGGGATGAAGAGATGATAGAGCAGGGACTTTCTTACTTTGGTTGAGAATTCTTTTTAATGAAAAATACCAGGCCGCCCGTGAGTACAGGTTGAGTACAGGTATTTGGACTGGTCCTATCCTAGTTTGTACTTCTGTACACATAAATCAAGTTGTGTGACCATTCATACCAGGGTAGCCAAGTAGTCTACGCCCCACTCCAGCATGTGAATCACCCCAAGGGTGTGGGTTCAAATCCTGGTCAAGCCAATATCTGTCCTGACCTGTGACTCTGGGACATGCATTAACATAGGGACAAGTCAGCCTTGCTGGTCATGCTGCACCGTAAGGTGATGGATTCTTTCCTCCGAGAATCCACCATCTTACTGTGCAGCATTAATGGCAAGGCAGCCTTGTTCAACCCCTTTTGACCCGCTGACTGTGCAGGAACAACAAGCTGAATTTTTCTGCAAGTTAGCACCTGAAAGCAATGAATCTAGGGCTGCGACCCGGTCCCGGCCCCGCCCAACCAACTCTGCCCGACGGCTTCCACACAGGTGACAGTACGCGCCCCGGGGCATCATGATTTGGCCTGATGGCAGCTGAAAATGGCCCCCGTAGGCCTTTCAGGCGCCTCGAGCACCCGACCCGGCAGGGCGCCGACCCTGTTTACGTCAAAAAAATGTCCTACAACCGGCCTTGGCTGGCCCTGAGCAGTCTCCAGAGGTCATCGGACTCACTCAGGGCTGAATTTGGCCCCGGGGCCGGCCACGAACTCTCAGGGTCGGGTCGCAGCCCTAAATGAATCGCTATCATTTATTAACACAGCTTTCAGATATGATCACTCAAACCAACCACCTCAGTCAACAGGAATTGGACCCTGAGACCCGGGGAATCAGGGATCCCAGTGGTTGCCTGTGTAGGTTGTTCTGGCAGACCAAAAACATGGATACTTTATTTGACCAGGCAGTGGGGGATTACCGTGATTCTCCAAAAATTCCTCGGCTACCCCGGGGGTCCCGGAGGGTTGGTCCGGGGGGGTCATGCTGGCTCTGTGTTTTAAAAACAATGCCAGGTTTGCCGGGCCCGGGGTCTGTTCTGTTGTTTGGAAAAAAAATCAAGCTCATGGACGCCTTGACCCCCAGCAATCGGGGGTCGGGGGCCATCCTGAACTTTGCCCCTATATAACCTCTATGAATTAATTTCAATGAATCAAATCTCATTGGTTCCAGTGATAACCATATTTGATTTTTGAGTCTGCCCAGTCAATGCGGTCCGCACATGCTACATGAACCAGCTATTTGAATTTCTCCCCTCCCTCACCCTCTCATGTTACCCAAACCAATCCGATTCCAATACCTATAACTACCTCCTTTGTATAATCTTTACCCATTGCTCTTGGCCTATTCCTCAACCCACTCTGTTGTTTCATGTCACATTCTGATTCAATAAGTTAATACTCCATTATGATTCAACATTACATTGGCAAATTAGATATGTGTATCCTTAAGCATTGCTTCATCAAGCCTGGATGTACACCAATCTAACCATCCTTTGAGTACCTTCACCAATGTATTTATATATCTCCACTTCTCAACTCTAATTGACTTCTATCTCTCTATTTCTGCCTGATACTCCATCTGAAAAGGTGGTCAAGTTGCCTCTTTGCTCTTCCCTTTGGTTTTTCAGAATAAATTATATTTATGGACATAGAGAATCTTCTTCTTTATCTTTGAACTTTGGTAGAAATTTGGCTGGATATGTGCTTGAAGAAGAAGAATATGGAAATCAAAGTTGAGGGAAGGGAAGGTAATCTGAAGCAAGAAGATTGTGTTAAGGATGTTATGATTTTGGGATTTCTCGTCCTTTTTTGAATTTGTATATCATTGATGGATTTTTATTTCATACTGATCAAGAGAAAATAAGTCCTTCTGTTTGGTTTTCCTAAGGGCTATTTTATTCATCAATCCTAAATTTTTGAGAGACCTTTCAACAATTAAATGAGCTGTAGGGATTTCAAATAATGGAATAACATTACTGCAATATTTCAATCATAATGATGAAGTTTCTTATCTTGATGGTTATCTTCATTTTTCAAAATCTTAATCTCATTCTTTTTTGTAAACATACAACAACTTGTATTTTGTTTTACAAAAGTGTTTGTCAAGTGATGATGATGGTAATGAAGTGTGATGTTGTTTTGTTGCTTCATGTGATTTAAAGGTTTTTTGTCATCACCCCTTTCAAAAGTCAAATTGGGCTGTGTATATCGGTCCACCGGTGTATCGGTCAAATTAAAATCGAACTGAATTGTCGTAGTCGAAAGTGTCTCCCCTCGCCTCAAAGGTCCTGCACGCTTTCACCAATATGCCAACTGATTCCACCATTTCCATCAGTGCCATGGACAACTACGAAAGTGAATCTACGAACAGTTTCTCAGAAAGTGTACAGGCTTACGTGCAAAACCTTAACTCTATTGATCAAGCTGTACGCACATGGTTACAAAATCCGATGTCGAGCTCTCTATACTCGTGCCTGAAAGCTGTTTTGAGCGAAGTGCACATTCAGATCAAAGGTGGGTGATTATTGACGCTTACTCACGCCTTGCACGCCAAACAGACGCTTTCTAACCCTGTCTTGGGACAACATTTTTTTTTCAGAAATGGAATGCACTCTACTAGACCAAGAGGCTATGCGTCATCTGGTCAAACCTGGGCGTCCTAGTTCTCTCACTTCCAAGAGGACACCCGCAGCCATCAAAACTAAGACCTTGCGACGGTCTCCACGTTCCAACTCTCTTTCTCGCTTGCAGTCATCAACACTCAAGGCTCGTTGTATTGCGAAAAGGAAAAAGCTTCAAACTAGTTCAAAAAGAAAGATGCAATCTGGAACCCTGTTGTCTTCAAAATCTCTCGATAAATCGCACCCTGCCGGTTCTTTAGCAGCGACAAACATCAAACAACACACCTCCGGTAACCTAAACGTCACGGGTGATAACCCACGTACTCGCTTGAACGCCGAATCGGTCGATAACGCAGCTTTGATTGCTTTCGAAAAATCGTTGAGCCAGGATGATGGTTTTGATATCCTTTCTGACGGAAGGTCTGATGATGCTCCCAATAGTGTATGTTTGTGTACATTGACACCTCCATCATACGACAAACGCGACAAACCAGCTGCTTGACTGTTTGACATTGATCTTCATCTTTTTGTTCTCTCATCAGATAGAATCTCCTTCTCAAGATTCTTGCCATAACTTTGCTGCTACTGGTTCCATTAGAATACAGCCCGAAACTGACGGGGAAGTCACTGGTCCAGATCCGCCGAACACAACCTCCCAATCCAGCTCTCTTGATACTGGTCTTTATGCCACACCTGTTGCTACCGCCGAGAAAGGATTTGACATTCATCCGTCACTACAAACTACAAACGCACGCTCTTTCTGGTTGCGCCGCATCAATCTCTATCGATCCCAGTCTGTGCAAATGCAGGCAATCATTCCAGCGGAAGTCAAATCAATACACAATGCTGCACTTGCATTATTGAACGCTCTTGCTCGCGGATCACTCGTTAGTTTTGATCCCACAGAGGTGCTGCCTCAGGCTGTGACGTTTGACAATCGAAAAGACCCTGGAATTCGAATGTGGTGTAAGAGAGCTGAAAGTATGAGAAATTCCAAGCGATCTCGGACTCCTTTCGAAGCTGACCTTCAACATTATTTACTTTCAAATTCAGATCGAAAACTATTTTGCGCAAGTGAACAGACATCTTGGTACAAGCCAGATGTCTTTGACTTCAATTCAATTGACAATTATGACCCGCCCAAAGATATACCCATCCATGATCGGTATCTTTGGGATACAATCAGAATGTTCCACAACCCCAGCCCAACATTTGTTGAACGGGCAATGCATTATGTGATGGCTGCCGTGGTTTTGGTTGGAATGGACTGTAATACTCCGATTGGCTCCACTAAGAACTCGAACACGAATCTCTCCGCTCAAACGTCACTCAACGCGATTTCCTGCTGGAGTCATTACAAAGAACTGTCTTACATGCGGTGGAAATCAATAAAAGAGAGCAAATCAAACTCCCCAGATGCTTCTCTCAAAGACTTGGACCGACTCATTGCTTCGATCTACTCTCTTGTTGTCGCGTTCACAAGCATATGGGCATCTGTCACCCTGGACGCCGATATCGAAGCATGCAACAATCTTTTAAATGCAGCCATCACCCCGGACACAATTAGCAAATTGACCGTGCAGAAGGAGCAGCTTTCAAAAGCGCGGGAGGCAGTCGATATCGAGCAGGCTGATCTTCCACCTCTTGTCAGTTTTCTATGTTCAGGTGTTACGGGACTGATGATATATCCAAATGATAAAAATAGTCTCTCAACTCTCCGAGCAGTCAATTTCATGCTTGTAACTTGTGATCTCATGGAGCCTGATCATTCCTTTCATGAGCCAGTCTGGAGAAGAACGCAGTCGTACATAGTCCAGTTCTTGAAAGATATCATTCTCTGCACAGGACCCTGGGTCCCACGTGAATTAAACCGGTATCACTTGGCCAAGGCACTTTTCCTCGACTTTTCTGGATTCTGGCTTGCACAGAATATAAGTAAGATCTCTATACCAAAGTCAAGGAACTACAAAATTGGTGATCAAGAATATCTCTAGTGCTATGTAAGGTGATCAGGTGATCTTCAATGTATTAGGTATATGACTAGTCTATTCTTTAAACACTATATTTGACTATATTTGTATCTTGGTAACTCATCAACCAATTGCATTGAAGTCTAAACATTGCAATTCAAAGTATCATTTTCAAATGAGACAAATGTCACACAAAAGGCTTTCAGATACCTGAAAGACAAATCCTTTTTTTCTTTCTTGTAAGATTAGACAGATATTGTGTGCGTTCAACTCAGACAGAAACGAATTGACGCATTAGTACATATAGTACTGAGTAGAAAGCAGCAGCATAGACTTCCCTGCCAGCCCGTGTCTCTCAGACTCAGTTCAGATCTTGCTTACGTTTCAAGTCTCAATTGTGCGGATCTTTTTAGTTATTACCTTGTTTAGGCACGCCGTTAAATGTCGTTGTAGCACCTGAACTTGACGTGAATGTAACAGAAATCAGGGGGTATGGTCATCCAAAAAGGACTAGCAAAAATACGGCGGATCAAAATGAAAAGACCTCATCAATCAAAATCATCCATTACATTCCTCTCAATTTTCATCTTCTGATCAATCCAATATTAACACAGAGATTTCACGAATCTTCTTATTTGAAAATCACAGGGCTTCTTTCATCTGAATACAGTCTGGAAGTACACAGAGAAGCAGTACAAAAGTATCATCTTAATCTGGGGACCAGCATCTTCAGAATCATCTCGGAATCACTTTCCGACGAGTCACTCAAATGCGCTTGGTGATCTTGGTCTTCGGTATGCTCATTCGATGTCTTGCTCGAAAACGTATCCATCACGTCGAAGAAAGCGACCGTATCTGACATAGTCGACGGATAATTTTCAGCCTGAGAACCGTTTTTGCTGGTATCTTGATGCGAATGAGAGAAGGTGTCTACCGCTCCCTGCACACTCTCGGCTTGGGAAGATATGTTTTCTGCGGAGCCTAATAAAATCTCAATGCAACCCTTGAAAGCTACATAGTTTTCCATGAACATTGTGAATAGTTTGATAAACTCCTCTCGGTCCTCCACCTTTGAGTACAAACAGGATACGTGTCAGATCAATTGCGTTTAAGGGTATATTTGTGGGTGCTCAAGCACTCTGAAGAGATATGGAAACGGATTACCTTTTCCTTGGACGTTGATACCTTGAAATACATATTGATTTGCTTTACCATGGATCCATATCTCAATGCTGTTTCGCTCCGTGCCGGTAAGTCGTATTCCATTTTGGCCCCTGACTCAATTTCACCTGGCTGGAATTGGACCCGAGCAAACCTAGAGATTATCGAATGGATTTCTCCAGATTTGAGGGTTTCTGAAGTTAACAGCTTCTCACTCAAATGAGACAACGCCTTGAGACGTCTTTGAAAGTTTCGTAAAGCATTTGACATCCAATGAAGCTCCCCAGCTGAAATGACCTCAGAAGGGAATGTTCTAGGATTTTGTCGTGTTTTTGAGCGTGTTTGATCTGCGGTTGGACAGATGATTTAAGACGGAACATAGACTCCATGATTGGCCGAATAGAGACTACTTACGTGATTTGTGATTCACAATGTCGATTTTTGCTTCTTGCATTACGTCATCGACTGCTCCAAGATCCTTCAATTTTCTTTTTTTTCCCC